ATATATATATATATGTATATATACATACACACACATATATATATGTATATATATATGTATGTACACATACATATATATATGTATATATATATGTATGTGTATATATATATAACATATATATTATATGTATATAATATATATATAATAAAAGTTCACAAACCCTTAATGTTCCCTTAGTATCTCCTAAAGAAATCGCTGACTTGCAAAGATAAAAGTAATGAATAGTTTTATTATTTATGGCCCTCACTTCAAGGAGCATTGGTAATTTTAGTTCAACACATTTCTGTTATCAAATTCTTTCAGGTTTCTTATGCTACTCATAGTCTACTATATATATGGTATATGAATATCAGTGCTTTAATACTGGGACTATTTTCTCTTCTGGCAAATGAAAACATACTGTTTACAGCCAGTGGGTGTACATTCTTCATGAGAATAAAAAACACATAGTAAGAGGAAGACAGAATATTCAAAACACAACCTGAAAAGGACATGTGACCCAACTTTTAAAAGTTTCTGACCTCTTGAGTCGATTTGCTATTCCTCACACTAAAAAATTACCATAGCTCAATAACTTCCAGCCAGTATTTCTAAGGCAAAAAGTTACAACTATACAGTCATTAGCAATTTTTAGCAATATATTTTCCCTTATCCATGGTATCATTGTGTTCTATTATATAAGACAGAGGTAAGCAAACTACAAGTCTGTAAGCCAAATCTTGCCCGCTGCCTGTTTTTGTAAATAAAACTTTATTGGAACACAACCATACCTATCCATCATGTACTGTTTATGGCTGCTTCTACTCAACAGTAGAGTTGAGTAATTGTGACAGAAACCAATTTGGCCGAGAAAGCCTACAATATTTACTATCTGGCCCTTTACAGAAAAAGTTTGCTGACCCCTGGTATAAATATTCAAATATGTAATATTGTAAATGTTTGGCTACATATGATCCACCATGAAGCCCTACTCTTTTTAGCTTCTTTAAAAATCACTGCAAAACTTTTCATCTGTGCCTCAGGAGGGCCTCAGACTACGGAAGAACCTACTCGATTATTGCCCTTTCTTTCTTTCAAAAGTATTGAACTCTGGGGCACCTGGGTGGTTCAGTCAGTTAAGCATCTGACTTTGGCTCAGGCCATGATCTCTCCATCTATGGGTTTGAGCCCAGCGTGGGGCTCTGTGCTGACAGCATGGAGCCTGGAGCCTGCTTCGGATTCTGTGTCTCCCTCTCTCTCTGCCCCTCCCCTGTTCATGCTCTGTCTCTGTCTCAAAAATAAACAAACATTTAAAAAAAAATTTAAAAAAAAATAAAGTATTGAACTCTGAGTCTTGACGGTGAAAACAAAATGGCATAGTCAAGAATTTTCTCAGTTGCTAGGGAAAAGTTTAACCATTTAGGCCTTTGATAAAGATACAAGTTTAGGGGGAACACTGTCTCCAGAAATAAAGAGGTCATGTAAAGAAAACAGTAATTCATTAAATTTAGCAATTATTTTTTTAAAGAGCTCAGATTTCTACTTACCAGTTAGTGAAACCACAGAAGTCTTTCCTAACCCTGAGACGGAAGGTGTATATCCTACTGTAGAACTTTTACTAGAAAAGAATGTGAAATGGTTTAAAATACAAGAAATTGGCTTCTGTCACCCTAGTCATTAGGCACTTGGTCTTTCTAAATCTCTTTTAACGCTTTCCTCTACCTCTGGTGGAAGCACAGTTGCTACTTTTACTTCTCAATTTATTGCTTACCATGCCTCACAATAACTATTCTTTCTGTACCTTAAAAGCATCTCCTTAAACTTGCTATAGCAGAATCGGTTTTTCTTTTGATGCTCAACTACGACAGATAATACGGATACAATTTTCCTGGAAATAATTTCTCTTCAGTTGTAATCTCTTTGCCCATCTCAAGATCACTCTATTGATTAGGAAGTCCAGATAGATCTATTGAGAACGTCCAAAAACGTAGCTGAAAAGCTAGAGTAAGCTATCTTTCACAAAAGAAAGACATATCTTTCCCATGCCATGTTATCTTTCTTGACAGATGCTTTTAAAGACATTTACGTTGACTTAAAAGTTATTTTCATTGATGGATACGCAGCTCTTACATACTGTATGTGTACAACATTTATAAAAAGTCAGGGTCACAGAATTTATGCTGACTCTCTCCTCGTCTTAACTGTTGATCGTTCAGTGCGTGGGGCCAAAGGGGAAACCAGACACTCATCTATCGTCAGAAGAATTGTTGTGATCACTTTGCCACAAAAACACACTAGTACTTCTTTACAGAAGAAAACAGTAGCAACAGCAAATGGACGTCCACCTCTACTTAGCAAATGGGACACGTCCGCAGCCACTCAGAAGCTGAGTGGTGCATATGACAGACAGAGCACCGCCTCCCTCATAAAACAGCGTATGGATTCCATGATGCTATTATACGGCACCATGGCAGAAAGTCCTCCTAGAATGCCAGAATACCCATTGTTATACAAACTGGCAGGCTACAATTTTTTTCATATAAAATCTTTACAGAAGAACCCTTACAATCTATTGACCTATTAAAAAAAAAAAAAACAAAAGTAACCCTCATTTTGTATAGTGTAAATATTTCACGTAAGTAAAGATAGGTAACTAGCAAAATCAAATTGGGTTAGAACACGAATAGCTGACATGCCATACCTAGCACACTTGTCTAAGTTGCCGTATTTCGCATGAAAAGCTTGATTATTAAAAGACTGGCTTCGGATCAGTTTGGATTTCTTGATTTCTTTGCCTGGAGTAAAAAGCAGAAGGAAAACGCAGTTCATCCTTGGCTGCCCTATGCCCATCCCCTGGCCAACTCCCCCCGCCCCCGCCCCCTTTCGTGAGGCACGGATTTGTCCAGCTTCCTTTCCTCGGTTGAGCTAACTGGAGTATCTCTTACCCCTACTGCTCAGCAAGAACTCCCAAAACACTGAATGATAGAAGGTAAAAGCTGTTTTAGAAGAATACATCTCCTCTAGTGGCGTGGCTTTCCCTAGAACTGATTTTATAAAAGGGGAAAAGAAGACACAAAAAGAGGCTGTTTCCTACTTGTCGATGGGGTGCTGGTTCCAGGAGGTCCGGGAACAGAGATGGGGATGCTCTTGGGCAGAGTCGTCGGTGTCTTGGTGTCTCTACCTAAAACAAACTCTGTTTTCAATGCTGTAATTTCCTCTGAGCTCTTAATCTCCATAAGCACGCAAGACAACACAGAGAGTATGTGTCCTACTAGCTAAGAAGCGCTCTTTCCCAAATATGCTGCATTTATGTATCTACGTATTTCAATCTCAGCTGTCCAGTGACCGATTTCACAACGGCACTGCTGTTGTCAGACTTTAAGTTTCCCTGTGAAGGATCTGAACCTTCACACGGACTCCCAGCATTTATTCATGTATTCCTAAACCGGTGCCACATGAAACAGCCAATGTTTGAAAACTACCTTTTAAAAAATGAGAGAAAGTGGGCCAATTTTCTGTCTCAAACTCTGAAAATCGGCGTGGTCTGTCAGCACGCCAGGACGCGACACCAAGCGTGTAACTTAGCGGTTGAGACGTGGGAAAACTACTTACGTTTCTTTTCAAAGCTTTTCTCACTCATGGGCCTCCCATCGCTCTGTTGCTTCTCTTTCTCTAATTGTTCCTGTTATCAAAACAGTGTGTTAGCAGGAAATGGTAAGCACAGGTAGATTGATAAAACTCTTCTTTTATTTTTTTTAAGGCTTATTTATTTTGAGACAGAGACACAGGAGGGACAGAAAGAGAGGGAGAGAGAGAAGCCCAGGCAGGCTCCACGTTTAGCACAGAGCCCGATGTGGGGCTTGATCCCACAAACCGTGAGATCATGACCTGGGCAGAAATCAAGAGCCGGACGCTTAACCAACGGAGTCACCCAGGTGCCCCAAACACTCTTCTGAGAAATTACTCCAAGCATTACAGATACAAATACAGTTCACAAAAGTGCCTTAGCGAAGAATTCTCTTTCCAAACTACTATCTGAAGAAGTCAAGGTTCTTTCAGATTTGAGTTCTTTTAACAGGTACAGAATTGTGCCCTGGGAGGTCTGTCAAGCTAAAACAATGAGTTTAGTATCATTGTTATAATGGGCCTTTCTCTTCTGGAAGGTATGTACCAATTCTCATTGGCAAAATGTTGCTTATTAATGGTCATCTCCATTTCTGATGGGTAAGTGGCAAAGTAATACTTGTCTTTAAAAGATTGAGAAAAAGAAATGGTGTGTTGGGATATTTTTTAATGGTTTACTGAAGTGTAACATATGTAAAGAAAGTGAAGAGCTCAGTGAATTTTCCCAAAATGAACACATATAATCACCTTCCAGATCCAGAAACAAAATGTTACCAAAACTCAGTTTCTCCCCAAAAACAGAACAGGGAGGCAGGAAAATCAATAAACATGCCAAGTTCTGAGCAAACTTAGCATAACTGACATGTAGAAAACACTACACCCAGGGTGCCTGGCTGGCTCAGTCGGAGGATCTTGATCTCGAGCTCATGAGTTCAAGCCCCACACTGAGTGTGGAACCTCCTTAAAAGTCAAACAAAAACCAAAAGCCAAAAGACAACACTACACTCGGCAACTGGAGAACACGCATTCTTTTCGATTGCACATGTAATGAAAAGCAGGGAGAAACCAGACAACAGATTAAAAAATTTCTGTTTAGAACCGGTCTCCATAAAAAAGAACCAAATGGAACTCTCGCAGTGCAAATAAGACGCGTAAAAGTGAAAAACAAACGTCATTAAGTGGGTTGCAAGTAGTGTTGGCTACTTTCCCCACCTTTTCCTCGATTATCTTGGTCACATTAGTCACAGCTGGCTTCGAGTCCGCTAACTCCGATGCCAGGATCACCTGTGGCTCTTCTATCGCCTGATTTTTGTCTTGGGTTTAGCTCACTGAGTTCTAAAACTCAGCGTTTAGAGCCTGCTTATGCTCTGCAGTTTCTACTGCTGGCCGTCCTGAACTGTAATCTTTGCCTCCGAAGGCTGCTGAAGTCATGCACTTGCTTTTTCAGATCTCCACTGACGTGTTTAATTTCACAGAACAGTTCTCCACAGGGAGAAAATATAAGGAAGAAGTCAATGGGAATTTGAGAACTGAAAAATGCAGCACTGGGAATAAAAACACTGGATGCGCTCAGCAGCTCAAAGAGGACAGGAAAAGTCAGTGGCCTTGAAGACGCATCAACGGAAGTTATTCGCTCTGAATAACAAAGTGTAAGGAAAGAAAAAAAA